TGTGTTGGGAAAGAGGCCAGACTATGCCCCTATGGAGTCCTCAGATGAGGAGGATGAAGAATTTAGTTCATTAAGAAAGCCAAAGAACAAGAAGCAGAGCCTGAGGACCAGGAGGAGGATTCATCTAGCGACCCCCGACTACAGCGTTTGCAGAAGAACCGTATTAGTGAAGATGTAGAAGAGAGATTGGCTCAACATCGGAAAATAGTGGAACCTGAAGTGGTAGGAGAAAGTGACTCAGAAGTAGAAGGAGATGCTTGGCGCATGGAACGAGAAGATAGCAGTGAGGAAGAAGAGGAAGAAATTGATGATGAGGAAATAGAGCGGCGCCACGGCATGATGCGTCAACGAGCACAGGAGAGAAAAAATGAAGAGATGGAAGTCATGGAAGTGGAAGATGAAGGACGTTCTGGGGAGGAGTCAGAATCAGAGTCCGAGTATGAAGAGTACACAGACAGTGAAGATGAGATGGAGCCTCGCCTTAAGCCAGTCTTCATTCGAAAGAAGGACCGAGTAACAGTTAAAGAACGTGAGGCTGAAGCATTGAAACAGAAGGAGCTGGAGCAGGAGGCTAAATGCATGGCTGAGGAGAGACGCAAGTATACACTCAAGATTGTAGAAGAGGAGACCAAAAAAGAGCTGGAGGAAAACAAGCGATCCCTGGCTGCACTGGATGCGCTGAATACTGACGATGAAAATGATGAGGAGGAATATGAGGCATGGAAAGTTTGAGAACTAAAGAGAATCAAGAGGGACAGAGAAGATGGAGAAGCGCTTGTGAAGGAGAAAGCAGAAATTGAACGCATGCGAAACCTGACTGAGGAAGAGAGGCGAGCTGAGCTTCGTGCAAATGGCAAAGTTATTACCAACAAAGCTGTTAAGGACAAATACAAGTTCTTACAGAAGTATTATCACCGGGGTGCCTTCTTCATGGATGAGGATGAAGAAGTATACAAGAGAGATTTCAGCGCACCTACCCTGGAGGATCATTTCAACAAAACAATTCTTCCCAAAGTCATGCAGGTCAAGAATTTTGGGCGCTCTGGTCGTACCAAATATACCCACCTTGTGGACCAGGACACCACCTCCTTTGATTCAGCATGGGGCCAAGCGAGTGCCCAGAACACAAAGTTCTTTAAACAAAAGGCAGCTGGGGTACGAGATGTATTTGAACGGCCATCTGCCAAGAAGCGGAAAACTACTTAAAGGTCAATTACTTATTCTTCCAGCTGTGGGACACAAGGGCAAGTCTCAGTGTCTGGACCTTTGCTTTCACTGTTATTTACATGGGCTACGTATCCAGCCTATTGGACCTACTGCCATACTTGTGACACTGGGTACCCCAGTTTTGGAAGGTGCTTTGTGCGGTTGGGACTCATGCTGAGAAACCCATATAAAAGCACTACCCAGGTAGGATTATCCCCACTTAAAATTATTTCTGAGAAATCTTCGTTTTCATCATTGCTCTGGCTTCCCAAATTTACTTGGGACTGTTCCAAGTTTTTTCCCAGCCCCTTAGCTTGGGTCAGAAACATACGCATGTAAATGGACAGTGCATTACTTCTACCTTACAGGAAATCTGAGCTCATTGAAACCTGAGCATTTGGGGTTTTTCTTTTTAATGCCTGCTTTGGATATGTTAAATTTTTTAAGAAATACAATGCAGAGGGTTGTACAGCAGCCAAAAGGCATCGGGCCTCCTGTACAACAGCCTCTGCCAACTCAGTCTGGTAGAAGGATACACAAACCAGACAAGAGTTTTACAAGATCTAGTAATGATGTGGGGAAGAGGTTGTGTTTTCTATCTTTCTAGAAGGAGCAGTGCAGACAATTTGGGTACCAGAGCATTACGTGCATCACCACAATGGACCCAGAGAAGCTCCTTGTCCCATCATTCCAAAGACTTAGAGTTGCCCCGATGACAGAAAAGTGGAAAAGAGAAGAAAAGGAAGGCTATGCAAGGGACTGAGGTACCAACATGGGGTCAGCTGAAGAAGTTAACAACTGAGGCCCAGCAGATGGTAGAAAAGCAAGAAGTGGAAGCTACTCTCTCAGCCAAGTCCGAGGACTCTGAGTAAATTCTGAGGGAAATTCCCCGAGGTACAGACATTGGAACCCTAATCTAACTAAACCTAAAGCCCTCGTCAAATGGACAGACTTACTTACAGGAGCCTGGAAGGGACCTGATGTACTTTTAACCTGGGGGAGAGGATATGCTTGTATATTTCCACAGGACGCAGACTCACCTGTGTGGATTCCAGACCATCTAGTCTGACCTTATGTCACACCACCCTCCATCTCCGCCTCATCCTCCTCCTCCCAGTATCATCCATATCAGCCGACCCAGAGGGCACAGCTGACTCCTCCCTGGACACCAACACCACCATCAAGCACGGCCCCGATGGACCCTTTGATCCAGCCCTCCAACGCGCTGACACTTCGGGAAGCCCATCACCAATGACGCCGCCCGCTAGCCAGATCAACAAGGACAACCAAACCACTGACTTGAGGACAGCTGAAATCCCTTGACTGAAGAGGCCAGCAACCTTCTACAGGAACAAGGCTCCTTGTGCACTCCATCCACTATGTTTATAACTATGCTCGCTATCATTGCCTATCAGTCTTCTTCCAAGTCTTGAACAGCCCAATCCGAGAGGTGGCCTCTGATTTACACGCGCTATCATTTAAAAAATAAAAAAGGGGGAATTTGCCGGAAGCCGGACCACCCTTGCTGCTTGACAGTCGCTGCAGGGAAGAAACATCTGCACAGCTTATGATTCAAGGGACCTGGTGTATATGGCATACTGTTCTTAATATGTTTGCTCCCCTTCTTAGCGCTATGTGTTTTAACCAAGGTCACCTCTCTGAGAAAGGTTGTTTCCCCAGGTGGGGATTTTTATCAGTAAAACCCCTTAACTAAGTGCCAGGGGGTAATCACTTTAACTACGAACAATCACACTTAAGCTACATAATCTTTACTCCCTGGAATGGAGATAACAAATGCCCTAACCTTTGGAAAAGAATGGATAGGATTAAGATCAACTGGTATAAATACAGATATAGCAGCAGAAATAAACACAGAACCTGGCTGGAGATCCTGGCTAGAGAACCTGGCTAGACTGCTGATCAACTGAACACTGTCTCCGTGTCATTCCTTCTTCGCCGGATCTGTCCACACCTTTGGGAACCCCTGGACCTGCTGGGGTTGGACCCCAACCATACACAATAGTTTCACTGCCCTAATAATCCTCTGTGCTCTGACTGTTCATCTCTCCCTCCCTTTACCTCTGGCAACCACCCATCTCCGTGGTTTTGCCTTTTCCGGAATGGCATACAGCTGGACTCATACAGGAAGAAGATTTTCAGATTGGTTTCTTCCACTGAATATGTATTCAAGGTTTCTCCATGTCTTTTTGTGGCTTGATATCTCAATTATTTGAACACTAAAAAATACCCATTGTCTGGATGCACCACAGTTTATCCATTCACTTACTGAAGGATTTCTTGGCTGCTTCCAATTCTGGGCAATTATGAATAAAGCTGCTGTAAGTTAGGTTTCTGAGGGAGTGTAAGCTTTTAACTCCTTTGGGTAATTACCAAGAAGCTTGATGGTCAGACCAAAGACTAGGGCTTAGTTTTGTAAGAAACCACCAAACTGTACTGCAAAGTGGCGGCGCCATGCTGCATCCCCCCAGCAGGAGGGCGGTTCCTGCTCCTCCTTTTTAGCATCTGGGACTCTAGGAAGGCTGCCCTTCTCTTTACTGATGCTGGTCATTTGTGTCCTTTTTCTTTTGACGAGAGGTTTCCACTTTTGATGTTCTCAATCCAGTTTTTGGTTTCACTAATTTTCTCTACTTTCATTTGTTTCTGTTCTGATACTCAATATTTCTTCTGCTTCTTTGCTCTAACTTGCTCTTTTTCTATTTTCTTAAGATGAAAGCCTAACTCACTGATTTTTAAACCTTTAACCCTTGTCTAATCTAGGGGCTTAGTGCTGTGAATTTCCAAGGACTGAGTTAGCTGCACCTACAGTCTTTGATATGCTTTCATTTTCAGTCAGTTGAAAATAGCCTTTTGCATATATATTTTATATTTTATTGGTTTTAGAGAGAGAGGGAGAGAGATAGAGAAACATCGATCAGTTGCCTCCTGCACGTCTCTCACTGGGGATTGAGCATGTGCCATGACTGGGAATCAAACGGGTGACTTCTTGGTTCATAGGTCGATACTCAACCACTGAGCCACACCAGCCAGCAAAAGTAGCCTTCTGGTTGCTTCCGTGACCCACAGGCTACTGAGGCGGTGTGACTGGTAGGTTTTCCAGGATCTTTATTATTTTTATCTGGTTTATAATGTTTCGTGAGCTGAATCTGTTGTCCCAGAAGATACTGTCTTGGTAGATGTTTCAGGTGTACTTGGAAAGAATTACTGTTTCTGAGTGGATGGAGTGTTCCCTGTTACTTATGTCAAGTTGGTTCACAGTATTTTTCTACTTGTTTTATCGCTATTGAGAGCTGTGTGGAAATCTCATACCTGTAGACAACGTTTCTCCTGGAAGTTTGAACAGGTTTGGTGGCTTGTATTTTGAAGTTCTGTTGTTTGGGATTATTTCCTCTTAATGAACTGACCCCTAACAACCTTCTTTATCCCTAGCAATATACTTTGCTCTGAAACCTCCTTTGACTAATATAAATACAGCTACTCCAGATGTCTTGCAATTACTGCTCAACATGCATGTACTTTCTCATCTTTTTATCCAATCTAACAATCTCCGCCTTCTACTAGGGCATTTATTGATTTTATTTGGCTTAAATCTGCCAGCTTGCTGCTTTTTGTTTTTGATTATGTTCCCATCTGGTCTTTGAAGTTGAAGGACTGATAAAAAGTTTGGGATGCAGATATATTATTCTCCAACATGTTTCTAATATGATGCTTAAACTGCTTTGTGATTCAAGATTTTAAAAACTCTTTATATTTGGGCATGTAATACATACACAGGATTCCTAAATTTATATTTAATTGACATAAAAATCTTGACCTCTAGATCCAACAACCTATTCAACAACTCTACCTGTATGTTTCACAGGCAACTTTAGTATCCAAATTCACATACCTTCAGTTTCAAACTCCTAGTTCAAGCCTAGAAACTGAAAATTCCCTACAGTTAGAGCTGCACATGGTTCATCAGCTGAATCCAAGTTTATTTCTTACCATGCATCACAGACATAGGACAGCTCAGACCTGAGTCTCCACTACAAAAAGGTAAATAATTAAAAGGATTCTTTATTTTAAATGTCTATAGTACCATAATTCATGAAAATAATTTATAGTAGTTAACCACCCCTTAAATATGATCTTATAAACAATGTATGGATTCAGTCAGTTTGTTTAAAGTTAACTAGTCTGCTATGAAGTCTTCTAAGAAAGGAAATCATGACACATTCCATTCCATTATTAAAGGGGATTAAAAAGCATAAACTAATTTGAATAGACCTAGCAATTTCCTGGGTATAATCCTTCTGTATAAACCTGACTCTTTATATTAAAACTGTATTCTGATTTCCTACCATTAAATAAGAAGTTCCTTAACAGTGGCCTAGAAATGACCTCAACGTCACATACTTCTTCACCGCCTGATGGTCACTTGGTGCTCCGAAATGGACAGTAGAGTATGTCTGCTGTTTCACGTCTGCTGATCTTCCCAGGACAAGCATTCCATTCCAGTCATCGCATCCGCCTTAACCTTCCAAATGCCACTGCTGTGAGGAGGAGCCATCACAGATTGCCATAGCAACATAGCCTTTGTGACTCAGTGGATCAACCGCTTTCAGGCACTGTCCAACTGACACCTGGTACAGCCGATTATTCTTCTGAAAAATGAAGAAAGAGGTAACTTACAACACTTACTATCCAAATAAGGTAAAGAAGATACAGTGATCCAGAGAGATGTGGAGTACTTAACACATTGCGGACCAATCACGAGAATTCTCACTTCACATTACACAGTGTTTTACAAAGTATCACACTTTAAAAAGATATTAGATTGTAAGAACATGTAATAAATAACTTCAAATGCAATGGGTATTTAATTTTAATGCATGCCTTTAACATTTATGTAAAACGTTTTTTGTACTCGTTCAATAGAAACCTATCTGGCCACTGGGTAAAGCCAGCAATAAAACCACTGGTCCGCAATGTGTTAAGAGTAGGTACAGGATGCTGCAAGCTCAGAACACCCTTCTACAGGTGGACTATGAGCCTCCTCCCATCCTCCCTGAGCAAGCGTCTCACCCCGAAGGTCCACTGCTGGGATCCTCCCGACCCATGGCACTTCATGAGTCGGGGTGGGTCAGATGATCGAGTTTCTGACATATCCAGGCAAAGGAGATTACTTAAAACCAATTCATGCTCTTCATTATAAATCCAGATCTAAGGAAGAAAAGAAAAGATCAAAACCCCAAGGCCTACACACAGCAGTCAAAGAAAAAAAAAAAAGCATCCAAATTGGAAAGGAAGAAGTAAAACTATCCGAATTTATAGATGACATGCCATTACATCAGAAAGCCCTAAAACTCCACCAAAAACTATTGTGCTTTTACATACCAATAATGAATGCTCATAAGCAAATAATGCCATTTATAATAGCATCAAAGGAATAAAATACCTAGGAATAAATTTAACCAAAGAGATAAAAGACGTACACTCTGTAAGACATGGATTATGTTTCCTTAAGCTAGGGAAACAGAAGAAAAATAAACAAATGGAACTACACCAAACCAATAAAGTTTATGCACAGCAAAGGAAAACACCAACAAATCAAGAAGCAACTTACTGAATGGGAGAAGATATATGCAAATGACACATCAGATAGAGTTAATACCCCCCAAAATACAAAGAACTCATACAACTCAACACCAAGAAAACAAACAATCCAATTTAAAAATGGACAGAGGACATTCAGACGGACAACAATGTTGGCAAAGATGTGGAGAAAGGGAGCCGGGTGCACTGTTGGTGGGAATGTAAACTGATGCAGCCACTATGAAGACAGTGTGGAGGTTTCTCAAGAAAATTAAAATAAAACTACAATATGACCCAGCAATCCCGCTTTTTGGGTTATTTATCCAAAGAAAACAAAAACTCTAACTTGAAAAGATATCTGCACCCCTTACAGTAGCCAAGATATGGAGGCAACCGATATGTTCATCAATAGATGAATGGATAAAGAAGATGTGGTACATACATACAATTCAGCAATAAAAAAGAATGAATATTGCCATCTGCAATGACAGGGATGGACCTAGAGGGTGTTATGCTAAGTGACATAGGTCAGACAGAGAACACAAATAACTCATGGTCTCACTTAAATATGGAATAAACAAAAAACAACAATAACAGATCCTCAGATACAGAGAACAAGCGATGGCTGCCAAAGGGGAGGTATGTTTGTGTGTGGGGGGTGCTCTTCCTTTGCCATTTCTCACAAATTCACATATCTTTCAATTCATTCTATGTAACTGCAACGTTCAAATAATGCTCTAAAGGAACAAAATGCTACTATGATCAGATTAAAATCTAACGTCTGCCCTCCCTTCACTGAAGGACACCCTTCAGGGACTGGCTCTGAATACAAAGGCATCGCTCACCTGGTTCGGGTCACTGTAGTCACAGGCCTTAAGCACTACTAGGCCTCCCTTCTGACTTGGGCGGCTCTGGGCCACCAGACACTTGCCGGTCTGGAGGTGATAAAGCTGTAAAAGAAAAGAATGTTCATGAAGCCCAGCATCGAAGAAAGACCAGTGCTAGAAAAGGAGGTGTGGGATGAAATATGAAAATATTATTCCAGTAGTATGAATTCCAATGTCATAAAAGCATTTTATATTCCTAAATTCTAGCTTTAGTACATAGGAGCATAACAATAGACTTCAAGGTGATAGGCAATTTTAACAACATATGCAAGCAATGTCACATGGAATTTCTACCTAAAGTTACAGGTTTACTGGTCTCCTATAGGGAAGGAAGAAAATCAAACTATCATTTTAGCACTAAAATAGATAATTGGGGGAAAAAGAACAAAGGTATAAAGCAAAGGAGACACTACATAAGTAATGTAATGTACATGCTGAACTGGAGATAAATACAGTTTATAAATGCCATAGGAATTCTAAAAGTGCGATGCGTAAGAGAAGCAAAGCACAGGGTCTCAGTACAAGGACGGCTGTAAGCACCAAGATGAGTATGTACAAGGCAAGAATAATGCCAGGGATTAATTACATGGACATACACTGGTAACTAATTTTCATTAGCAGAAAACACCTAAGAACATCTTGATGATTTTTTAAAGTCTTAGAACAAGTAAGGGGAAAGCTCTAGGCTGAATTCTGGCCACTTAGTCGTTGGCATTGTGAAAGAACCTGGAGGGGGAGCACCTTCTTTGTAACAGGAGAAAACTGGGCAATAATGACAACATTACACAACTTTCAAAAAGGAAATTCTAAGAAACGATTCAGGAAAGCGGTAAGCATTTCTGGCTAGATCCTTAACATTTAATTGTGAAGAAATTCTCTAAGAAACAAAAGGGAACATCTAAACAAATGTGGTTGGTCAATGGGTTTTCTGCTCAGTTCAGATCATCGGATATGAAATTTCACCTTGTACCAACACTTAGACCCTAACCCACCTTTTACTTCTGTCTGCAGTCAATTCCCAGAGCTGAGGCCAAACAATATATAGCTGCCCCAATTTCTTTGTTTTCCTAAATTATCAGGTTTCTGCCAAATACTCATATATGTATCTACCTACAAAAGTCATGCTCTTATCACTGGCAGTAAAAGATCTGAAAATAGGGAAGATATTAAAATGTCTAAGGTCTTACACCTGAGTAGAGGAAATTCTCATAAAAAGAACATAATGGAAGACAAGCTAAAGGCTATCATTAAACATCTGTTAAGTCTATAATGTCACTTACTATATCATACAACATTAATGAAATACTCTGATAAGATTACTTTCTTACCCTTCCACGCTGAAGGATTTTGGGGCGTTTTGGCCCTCTGTTGATAAAAATGGGTTGCTGGGGTTTGGCATTGGGCCCAGATATCTGCATCTCTGGGTAAATGCTATCCAAATACCATTTAAATGATTTACAACCCAACTTCTTCCTCAATTCAACACGCTCACTGACATTTCCATAGCTTCTTGTCCTCAGATCAGGTCTTAAGGAAAAATACTGCTCCTGAATTTGAAAAAGAAAATTGAGAAAGGGAATGGATTTTTTGTTAAAATGAGTATCATCAATTACATCTGAGGTTTAAAGAATTGAAAAAATGGATGAGCAAAAATATTTTTCATGCCAGTGTTTTCTTGATATTAACAGAAAATGTCAGTAGAAAGTTTTTACACAATCCTATATAATAAAAAGGTAATATGCAAATTGACCATCACACCTTCACACAAGATGGCCACCACAAGATGGCCGGGAGGAGAGGGCAGTTAGGGGTGACCAGGCTGGCAGGAGGGCAGTTGGGGGGGACCAGGCCTGCAGAGGAGCAGTTAGGTGTTGATCAGGCTGGCAGGGGAGTGGTTAGGGGTGATCAGGCTGGCAGGCAGAAGCAGTTAGGGAAAATCAGGCAGGCAGGCAGGCGAACGGTTGGGAGCCAGCAGTCCCAAATTGTGAGAGGGATGTCCGACTGCCGGTTTATCCCTCAACGGTTCCCAGATTGGAGAGGGTGCAGGCTGGGCTGAGGGACAGCCCCCCCCAGTGCACGAATTTCATGAACCGGGCCTCTAGTTAGTTCCATAATTGACAATGATTATAAGACATCTTAAATTGCTTCTAATGCACTTGGAATTGATGAAACAGGCTATATATGAGGTTAGCAGTTTTAAACTGTTTGTCAGGACTCTATATTCTTTAAAACTATTGAAGACTCCAAGGAGGTTCTGTTTCTGTGAGTTATATCTATTGATATTTACCATACCAGAAGTTACAATTCACAAGTTTAAAAACATTTAAGTCATTAAAAAATAAATCCAGCCGAAACTGGTTTGGCTCAGTGGATAGAGCGTCGGCCTGCGGACTGAAGGGTCCCAGGTTCGATTCCGGTCAAGGGCATGTACCTTGGTTGCGGGCACATACCCAGTAGGGAGCGTGCAGGAGGCAGCTGATCAATGTTTCTCTCTCATCGATGTTTCTAACTCTCTATCCCTTTCCCTTCCTCTCTGTAAAAAATCAATAAAATATATTTAAAAAAAATAAAAATAAACTCATTGCCTATTAACATAACATGCTTGGAACAAAACATGGAGTGAGAACAGTGACACTGCTTTGTATTCCTGCAAATCTTTTTCCATGGTTAAAAAGAACTGAGCTGGATTCTCATATGTCTGCATTCAGCCTGTAAGTTGTTAAATATATTTTTAAAAATACAAGTTAATGAAAATATTTTAATAAAACTATTTCAGATAATTATGGTGACATTAAACATTAATAGCTTTTATTTATTTTTTTTATTGATTTCAGAGAGGAAGGGAGAGAGATAGAATCATTGATTGGTTGCCTCCTGCACATGTCCACCCCACCCCACTGGGGATCAAGCCCACAACCTGGTCATGTGCCCTGCCTCCCATGCTGGAGGCTAGGGACAGTAGTTAGCATAATAAATGCAGGAGGTCCATCAAAAGGTTGATGGACACCTTCAGCAGGGCTGAGGGTCTGCATATGATTGCCTGCTGCCAGACAGCTGAGGGCAGTTTCCCCCAACCTGATGGTCCTTTATTGTTTACCAGGCCTTACCTTTGATACATATATCTGCTTTCTAGAGGGCAAAATGTATGAATAAAAAGCCCTGGGTACAGAGATTCATGGAGCTCAGTTACTAAAGCTAAGCCTCCCTGGCTCCCCCGAAAAATGCCTCCCAAGTTCACATTTCGTGTCTAGTCTCTTTATTAATTTACTCACAGCCCCTTCTCCAGGTTCCTGAACCCTAGTAGATGCAGGATAACACCCTGGCATTTATGCGACCTGAGACAAGGACATCTAGAGAAGAAGATTATTCGCCTGAGCAAAAAGAAGTTTTCCACCAGTAAAGGTGGGGATCACCGGTAAAAGGTGAGGGGGTCCACCAGTAAATTCGGTGGGGAGATTCACTACCCGTAAAGCCTGCACCAGCTTTGGAAGCTGCAAATCCAGACTGGGCAGGAACGTCTTTTTCTAGCCAGACTATAATGGGGAAGAATTTGGTTCAAAGGCAAAATACCATTGTAAATTTTTAGCTTGTATGCTCAAGGATAAAGAAATTCTAATGTCATTAGGCACATTCTTAAATCATGCTCAAGGAAAAAGAGTGCCATTGTCATCTTTAACTATGTGGGTTCTTGTTCAAATTGCAAAATGCCTAATTCATATTGGGAATCAAAAGTCCCCACCGGATCCGCCTCTATTATGGAGAGACTCCACAGCTAGAGAGGGCGGAGCTATTAACACTCTCACAGGGAGACTCTAATGCTTTGTTTAAAAATTACCATAGGGCGCCTTGGGACAGGCAGATTTTAGCAAATATAACTTTAAAGCTAGTCAATGCCATGGAGAGCGGAATAGGAAAACATTCAGGAAAAGAACTTTGATTTATTTAGTCTTGTTGATCTGTCATTTTCTATTAAGCATGCTTTTAATTTAATAAGAAAAGAAATGCAGCCAGATCATTTACTGAATTTCCCCAGAGGAAACAGGAAGTGGGGGTTGGGAGACACGTGCTGATCCTGTAAAATGGACGCCCACTCCCGAGAGTGCTACGAAAAGTCTCATCTTTGCCATGATTTTTCTTTCCCAGTTTGTCATTTAAAAGTTTTACAGAATTAAGAAATGCATCTGGGATTTCTGTACTCGTAAAGAGAGAAAGCTGGCTTAAGACAAATGCGCGCACCATCCAATTTCGGATTTTAGATAGTTCTGGGCTAAGTTTAACTCCCTTTACGGATGATATAGAAAAACCAAAGACTGTTTTTTCTCAAAAAAAAAAAAGATGTCGGAGATAACCCAGGGAAAGAATACAGGCAGGTTCTAAGCAACAAGATTGGTGTTTCCATAATAAAGAGTAGTTTTTGAATAGTAATAGACCGCATTCCAAAGTTAACATTAAGGCCACTAGAAAGTCAGTAAATTATCTCTGCTACAGAATATGCCAAAGAAAATGCCTTGGATAATAATAATTGGCTTTAAATCTCAAAATTGTTGAAACGTGGATGTAGCTAAAATAAAGAATTTGTAGTAAAGCTTTTCAGTTATAATTATAGGTATATTAATAGTGGGGGTTTGATCCTTGTTGGAGGAAGGGGCTGGTTGCCCTTCCCCCGGCAGAAAGAATGTGGCAATTTTACATTTAAATAAACCAGGCTAGGTCAAACCTGTCTCACCAGCCTCAAACAGTTTTCCAAAGTAGTTGGCAACTTAAAACTTTGGAGTTTACTGAATTAAATAATAAAAAACTTGTTGAATATATAGGTATTTTGAAATGACAGATACTGAAATGTTAATCTGAGTTTGCCTCATATAAAAAATCTAGAGGACAGCCGAAACCGGTTTGGCTCAGTGGATAGAGCGTCGGCCTGCGGACTGAAGGGTCCCGGGTTCGATTCCGGTCAAGGGCATGTACCTGGGTTGCGGGCACATCCCCAGTGGGAGGTGTACTTAAAACTTTGGAGTTTACTGAATTAAATAATAAAAAACTTGTTGAATATATAGGTATTTTGAAATGACAGATACTGAAATGTTAATCTGAGTTTGCCTCATATAAAAAATCTAGAGGACAGAATTGAATCTATTAATTAAATATGTTTTGTATTTTAGTTGAAATATGTTCTTAAAAAAAGTGTAAAGTTAGGAGAAACCAAGATGGCGACATAGGTAAACACCTGAAATTGCTGCCTCGCACAACCACTTCAAAAATACAACTAAAAGACAAAACATCCAGAACCACAGGAAGGCTGGCTAAGTGGAAATTCTACAACTAGAAGGAAAGAGAAAAGCACACTGAGACTCAGAGGAGGTGCGGAAGTAAAGTGCAGAGGTACGGAGGCGCACGTGGAAAGGGCTGGTAACTGAGGATGCGGTTGTCTTTTTGAATCGGGAGGGAGACACAAGCTCCCGACTGCTCTGAACTCCAGTTCCGGGCGAGTCTCTGGGGATCCAGACTCATACAGGGAGAAACTGGACTGTCTGACATCGGGCGTAACTCAAGGGCAGCCTTCTCTCAGAGGTGCTTGCAGTGATTACCGGGACACTGAGACGCGGGGCCTCTTAGGGCAGGGCTGAGGATCAGCCATAGCTGCTTGCTCCGCCCTGTTGATTCCCTGAGACCCCGCCCCACCCAAGCTGTGCGCAGAGGCTTTTGCATATGAATGGCCTGGCCCTTTGCAATCTAAAATTACCTAACAAACTGCAGCTGGGTCAGAGAGACCCAGAACATCCAAAAGAAGGCCCAAGGCCCCACAGCAGCTTGCATTGCTTCACAGCTGGGCCTCATCTGGGCACCTCCAAACCCCAAACAAAGAAGAGGAATCTGCAGATCTCTCCTTAGCTCTTGCTGGGTAGCCTCAGGCAGAGGCTAAATTAGCACCTCCTTAGAGATCCAAGAGCCAGTGTACCCAGTGGTCAGAGTGGGACCATCCAGATTACAACTCCTCAGATCCATAAGGGACACACTCAGGGGGCAGACTCAGTGAGCACCAAAGCCCCACTGAAGCAAGTCTTGCCTCATAAGGGTGTCTTCACAGAAGTTCTCCCACCGTAGACACAGCTGACTCTCACAGCCAACTGGCCTGGAGGTCAATTCCTCCCAGTGATACCTACAACAATCAAGGCTTAACTACAACAAGACTGTGCACAAAGCCCACAAAGGGGTGCACCAAGAGTGTCCACCTCAGGTAATTGGGGAGGCTGAGCCACTGGGCCCTATAGGACACCTAGCACACAAAGCCACTCTACCAACACAGGGAAGCATAAAAAATGCGGAGACAAAGAAACAGGTCACAAATGACAGAAATGGAGGAAAGCAAACGACTGGATATAGAGTTCAAAACCACACTTTTAAGGTTTTCAAAAACTTTTTAGAAACTGCCGATAAATTTAGTAAGACCCTCAAAAAGTCTGGTGAGACCGCCGATAAATGTAATGAGACCCTCAAGAAATCTAGTGAGACCCTCGAGGTTATGAAAAAGGACCAACTAGAAATTAAGCATACACTGACTGAAATAAAGGATATTATGCAGAGATCCAACAGCAGACTAGAGGATCGCAAGAATCAAGTCAAAGATTTGAAATACGAAGAAGCAAAAAACACCCAACCAGAAAAGCGAAATGAAAAAAGAATCCAAAAATACGAAGATAGTGTAAGGAGCCTCTGGGACAGCTTCATGTGTACCAACATCCGAATTATAGGAGTGCCAGAAGAAGAGAGAAAGCAAGATATTGATAGCGGAAGTTCAATTAGTGTCATTTACTGTCCACAGCGAAGCACAAATGAAGTTAAAAAATAAGCCTTATTTCAGACTAATTTAAATTGGCAAATTAAAATAAGTGAATATTCCAGAGAACTTAGTTGTACTAGGCAGGAAACTACTCTTGAAGCATTAACTAATTTTTTACTGATGGTTCATCTCATAGTAAAGCTGTTTATCATGCAATGAATTTAGACCAGTCATACTTCTGTGCTAAGAACTGAATTAAAAGCTATCAAGACTGCATTGCAAGATTTCCAAAAGCCTCTTAATAATATTTAAAACAAAAAAAGTGGGGGTAGTGGAGAAATATCCTGTACGGAAATTACATCAAGCCTTAATGACTTTAAAGTTTTTTACTTTAAAAATTTTTTCACTTGTAATGCTGATGGCAAGACACACATGGTGTCAGAATAAGCCAAAGGAAAATGGTTAGAAAAATGAAAAGATCCCGAGAGTCTAGTTCAGGGGTGGGCAAACTTTTTGACTCGAGGGCCACAATGAGTTCTTAAACTGGACCGGAGGGCCGGAACAAAAGCATGGATGGAGTGTTTGTGTGAACTAATATAAATTCAAAGTAAACATCATTACATAAAAGGGTACGGTCTTTTTTTTTAGTTTTATTCATTTCAAACGGGCCGGATCCGGCCCGCGGGCCGTAGTTTGCCCACAGCTGGTCTAGTTTATAGAAAGGATCACTTTATTAACCTTTGGTCGAGAATATGCTTATGTATTTCCAGAAAACTCCAAGCACATGTGGATTCCTGCAACAATGGATCTGAGAGAGGAACTGACCAGATTACTCCAGCCACAGATAGCAGTAGTGGCCCCAAGCAACACGCTGACAAAAGAGGAGAAACAGTCCAGAGATGAGGATGGTGAAGATGCCTTGCCATGCTAGCAGTCAGCAGCTTTGCCCAGGACCAGGCCAAAGACGGTTGGACTGCATTGACATTGCTCACCATTGACATTGCTCACCGTTTGTCCACCATCCAGAACTAGAGTATCATTAGTGTCATGTCACAGGGAACCCATGGAAAAACTATTAGACAGTGATTGGGAAGAGAACCCATAAAAAACTGTTGGACACTGGAAAGGAAACTCAAAGAACTGTTGGCCCAGAAAGTAGCTTATTGCAGACTGATTCCTTTGATGCCTGGCAGCAATTTAAAAGGACATGAATGTGATTGATTTTTAAATTAAAACAAGAAGGGGGATATGCTGGAGGTTAGGAACAGTAGTTAGCATAATAAATGCAGGAGGTCCATCAAAAGGTTGATGGACACCTTCAGCAGGGCTGAAGATCTGCATATGATTGCCTGCACATATTTTTCCTGGTGACAACCACTGTCTCCAATCCACAGCACAAGTGCTCTCTGCATAATGGCTATGAACACTAAGAGAGAACACTAAGAGGATGTCAACATGGTGACATGGCACATTCACTACAAATCTGACTGTGAAAACAGCTTTGCACCAACAGATGACCTGCAAGGGTGCTCAGGACTTTCCTGGGTCTGTGGACCACATTTTGAGAGCTGCTATGTTATACAGTGGTGATTCCAAGATGATTAGCATAGAGCGGGACCTCAAGGAGCTCAGTTCAATGTAGGGAGGAGGCAACCAATGTTGTAGAAGAGTGACAGGTGCCTACCTCTTCTCCCCAAGTATAGCAAGCCGCTTCATCCTTCCCACAGGACACGTATGGACCCCTCCACTTGCATTTACCTCAGTGTTAAAAATTACTGTGCAATGCCTTAGTCATCTTTGTATCCCCCCAAACCTGACATAAGCTGGTAGCATGCAGTAGGTGCTCAATAAATGCTTGTGTAAAGAAATTAATTGTGCACAAATGTTCACAGCATTTTTCATGAGTCAGAAAGTGGAAACAACCCAAATGTCCATGAACTCATGAAAGGATAAACAAAATGCAATATGTTCACAATGGAATATTATTTCACAATAAAAAGGAATTGATACATAGTATAATATGGATGAAACTGACATCATTCTAAATGAAAAAAGATGGTCACAAAAGGCCACATATTGCGAGATTACATTTGTATAAAATGTCCAGAATAGGGAAATCCATAAAATGAGGCGGCCGATTACTGGTTGTCTAGGGTAGGATACAGTTCTTTTTGGGGTGACAAAATGTTCTAAAAAATTGTTTGTGAATTATACCTCAATGAAACTATTGCAAAGAAAATAATATTGCAGGTTGCATCTAACAGAGAAGACGGCCGGAAGGATACAACATGACCAGAGTCAGGTTTGGTGGGAGTTACAGGAGGGGGACCAGAACGACTAAAGAAACTAAAGAGAAACAGAGTTTCTTCTGATCCTGGTTGGCTACATTACCTCTTATTGAGTAGTCACTTAGAAAATGAAAAGAAGATCAAAACAGAAAAGAGTGAAACCCTAGGCGAAGAAAAGCGAGAGAAAAGGAACCTAGAAGGAGATGGTCCCCCAAACAGAAATGTGCAAGAGCGAAAAGCAACCAAAGCCATCCCCAAAGGAGATGGCCTAATTCTTCCTTCTCAATGAGAAATCTACGCTCACCTTATATTCATCCAACCAAACGTGTGCCAGCCTCAAGGAGTTGTGTGTCATGGTGTCCTGGCCTTCAGGGGAACCATAGGGTCGCCTTTTCCGGAAAATGTGTCCGACTCTGGAGCAAGGGATGATGAAGAGCTTACCCCCACACATCCAAATCTGGTCAGAAGCAAAGCAAGTATCAATAGTTGCCTCACAGTGCTATGAAGTCAGTGTATGACTTGTTGTAAAACTAATCTTTATTAAACAGCTGTTTGTAGGACTTTGCAAGATGCTTTATCTTAATAGATGTAACTATTCAAATAGAAGAAAGTCAAAGGCTATATTTTTTATAACCATCTGTATGATTTTTTTAAAAAGTAAACTCTTAATGTAATATTCTTTTACTATCATACACTATTGTTTTACTAGATCAAAAAACTTGATCTTTAGGACTTAGGGACAAGGAATGCTTAACAGGTCCTGTAATTTCAGTTTTATAAGTACTTTCTTATAAAATGTATATATAATTTTTTAAAGAAAAAAGTTGTATAAAATATACAGAATAACTCTAGTTAAGATATAAAAGATCTTGGTTCTGGTTTAAAGTTTATTTTCAACTGAGTTACTTTATACAGTTATTTTAATTTTTGTGGGACTCAAATACCTTATTTACAAAATAAGACTGAACTAATATCTATTATTCCTTTCAACTTTAAAATTTGAAAGATTATGTAAGAAAAGCTACCTTGTAAAAATACTGTGGTCAATACATTTGCAGAAATACAAAATGACATAAGCACAAGGCTTTGTGCTATTGTCTGAATGTCGATCCATCTGGATCAGGAGATGGGAGGTGGGGAACGGGGACTTCTGAGTTCTTTCCCTCCCTCTCTCTTCTTCCTCAGGTTGAAGGTACTTGTATATGAAAGGGATTCAGTACGCTATACATGAGCTGATGAAAAATTTGTCATATAGACTGGGCTACTTCTAAAAGTGAAATGGGGAGCTATTACTAATTTCTCTAGGGAAACACTGTGAACCAGTCAGTCTTGGGCAATCAGGGAAATCTGATCCCGACTATACACAGCAAGAACAAAACTATATTAAATGCTCATTAAGTCCTCTGAATTGACACCCAATCATTCCTTTTTGAATTCTTATAAATATAAGGCTGCTTATATGCTTTTGACATTCTGAATGGCTATTACCCATATCTCAGATGATGGCAAAGTAGCAATCATTAGGATAATTTCTTAATAAAGATAAAGAGAATTTACAGATAATACGGGATCATGGATGAAAATTATATTTCATTACATACAAACAACGAAGCATGCAAAAAAAATAAAATTACCCGAAATGATATTTCCAAATTTTCTCCTCCCCAGATATCCATGCCACTGTCATATTGCCCAAGTTCACTGAAGTAGCTTCTATTCATGGCAAACAGTCCTCCAGCCATTGTAGGTGACCTAGAAAAGGAAAATAATTACTGTATCAATTCTATAAAGTCAATTAGCTACTCTTTCAACTATTACAAAACATATTTTATCTAAAATCAAGGGAAGAGCTGGGCCACATAACTGAATTTTTCAGATCACTAGTGACCTACTAGACAACTAATAAGTGAAGACTGTTTTCCTAAGTACCAAAAGTACTGTTTTTTATTACAACCATTGTTGACAGAAATCCACCTGAAATGAATTATGAATTATTTAATTCCTTTTGGCAATCTCAGAGCCACTGGGATAAACACTGGACTCCAGGGCCTGTCAAAGTGAGACCAGACAAACCCACTACTTTTAATTGGGCTCAAACATGTGTTAGACAGTGGCTCTTAAGTAGAGTGATTCTGTTCTCCAGCAAACATTTCTTTAATTCTGGAGACCTTTCAGCTGTCACATCTGGGTAAGGGATGCTGCTGGCATCTGATGGGTGCCAAAGGTCAATCCTGTCAAGACTGAGAAACCTGTGTTAGTGAGAGTGAAGCAGACTGGCCCTCCCAGAGAGCCAAGACCAGCTTCCAGGCCTCTCGTCCTGAAACTGGACTAAGTGATCATGGATTCTAATGTCCCAAGCTGCCAGCCCTAAGTAAAGCAAAATGCTCTAAGCAAGAAGAAAACATCACCCCAGGTATGAATGTATTTCTATAATTTTTCATATACAGTGTTTGGGGCTAAAATAAACAAGCAAACAAATGAATAACCAAGCAATCAGGAAGCTAAGAAAGAAAAACAATAAACGATCTACAATAAAACGGATATGCAGGGGTGTCAAATAATAATCAGGCAGATATTTAAAAATAACTTCAATATGTTCAAGCATAAAAGATGAGATTTTAGCAGATAATTAGATATTACATAAAAAGAAACCAAAATGATGCCTATCTGAAAAACACTTCTGACAAAGATAGAAAGAAAATTTAAACAGTCAATAAAAGAGATTAACTTCCAAGGAAACGAAAATAAGACTGATACTGATTGTCTCACCAGAAACAGTGGAAGCCAGAAGGTTTTATAATGAAACATTCAAAATCTTGAAAGAATGTATCTGCCAATCTAGAACTGGATATCAAGCAAAATTATTCTTCAAAATAATGGTGAAACAGACCAATCTAAGGACAATACAGGGAGGAACCAAGATGGCAGAATAGGTAAACACCTGAACTTGCTGCCTCGCACGACCACATCAAAACTACAACTAAAAGACAAAACAGATATCATCCAGAACCACGGGAAGGCTGGCTGGGTGGAAGTTCGACAACTAGAGGGAAAGAGAAAAGCGCACTGAGACTTGTAGAAGGTGCGGAAGAGCGAAGGTACGGAGGTGCGAGAAACGGGATGGCAATTTTCAATCGGGAGGGAGATACAAGCTCCCGCTTTCTCTGAACTCCAGTTCCGGGCGAGACTCTGGGGACCCAGACTCATACGGGGAGAAAACTGGACTGTCTGGCATCAGGCCGGAACGCGAGGGCGGCTTTCTCTCAGAGGTGCTCACAGCATTCTTTGTTCCTGCACGGGACCGCAGGACACAGAGACCCAGGGACCTATTGGGGCAGGGCTGACAGGCAACCATTGCTGTTTGCACCGCCCAGTGATTCCCTGAGACCCTGCCCCACCCAAGCTGTATGCAGAGGCTTTTGCATATGAATGGACTGGCCTTTTGCAATCTAAAACCTAACAAACTGCAGCTGGGTCAAAGAACCCCAGAGCTTCCAAAAGAAGGCCTAAGGCTCCTCAGCAGCCTACATTGCTTCACAGCTGTGCCTCATCTAGGCACCTCCAAACCCCAAACAAAGAGGAGGAATCTGCAGATTTCTCTGTAGCTCCTGCTGGGTGGCCTCAGGCAGTGGCTGACTTTGCGCCTCCTTGGAGATCCAAGAGTCAGTGTACCCAGTGGTCAGAGTGAGACCATCCAGATTACAACTCCTCAGATCCATAAGGGACACACTCAGGGGGCAGACTCAGTGAGCACCAAAGCCCCACTGAAGCAAGTCTTGCACCATAAGGGTGTCTCCAGCACAGAAGTTCTCCCACCATAAACACAGCTGATTCTCACAGCCAATTGGCCTGGAGGTCAATTCCTCCCAGTGATACCTACAACAATCAAGGCTTAACTATACCAAGACTGTGCACAAAGCCCACAAAGGGGTGCACCAAGAGTGTCCACCTCAGGTGACTGGGGAGGCTGAGCCACTGGGCCCTATAGGACACCTAGCACACAAAGCCACTCTATCAACACTGGGAAGCAGCCAAAATGTGGAGACAAAGAAACATGTCACAAATGACAGAAATGGAGGAAAGCAAACTACTGGATATAGAGTTTAAAACTACAGTTATAAGGTTACTCAAGAATCTTCTAGAAACCTCCAAGATTTTTAGTGAGACCCTGAAGGATATCAAAAAGGACCAATTAAAAATTAAGCATACACTGACTGAAATAAAGAATATTATACAGAGATCCAACAGCAGACTAGAGGATCCCAAGAATCAAGTCAAAGATTTGAAATATGAAGTAGCAAAAAACATCCAACCGGAAAAGCAAAAAGAAAAAAGAATCCAAAAATACGAAGATAGTGTAAGGAGCCTCTGGGACAACTTCAAGCGTACCAACATCCGAATTATGGGGGTGCCAGAAGAAGAGAGAGAGCAAGATATTGAAAACGTATTAGAAGAAATAATGACAGAAAACTTCCCCTACCTGGTGAAAGAAATAGACTTACAAGTCCAGGAAGCACAGAGAAACCCAAACAAAAGGAATCCAAAGAGGCCCACACCAAGACTCCTCATAATTAAAATATCAAGGGCAGAGAACCAAGATGGCGGCATAAGGTATAGACCTGTGCGTGCTGCCTCCCACAACAACACTGAAACTACCAACTATAAGGCAAAACAGCTGTCATTCAGAACCATGGGAAAACTTGCCCAGTGGAAGTTCTACAACTGGAAGGAAAGAAAGAAGAGCATTGAGACTGAGTAGGAGATGCAGAGGGGCCAAGAACAGAGGTACGGAGTCGCGCGCCAGGCGGGCTGCAACTGGATGCGCGGTTTTTTTCAATCGGAAGGGGATACAAGCTCTTGAATCCACTGAGCTTGTTTGGGGCGGGATTCTGAGGTCCCAGACCCCTACGGGGAGAGGCGGGATGGCCTTGCAGTGGGTCGGAGAGCGAGGGTAGCTTTCTCACGGAGCTGCTCGCCGGCACTTGGGGACACGGAGATGCAGAGTCGTGGAGAGGCGAGGAGTCGCGGAGACGCCATTGCTGTTTGCTCCGCCCTGGTGATTCCCTGAGACCCTGCCCTACTCAATTTACATCCCCACCCAAGCTGTGCCAGTGGCACAAAAGGAACCACCTGCGCTTTTGCAGCCTAACCCAACAAACTGCAGATTTCAATTCCTCACATCCATAAGGGACACACTCAAGAAGCAGAATCAGGTTCGGAGGAAGCTGGAGCCAGACCCGGCTGAGCCGGCGACATGGAACCGCTGTACCAGCCAACGCACAAGCAGGTCCACCAGATCCAGTCTCACATGGGATGCCGGGAGACGGCAGACAAGCAGTCTGCGCACTTAGTAGAAAACGAAATCCAAGCAAGCATACCAGATATTCAGCCAGCTAGAACGCCTGGAGATTTTGTCCAGCAAGGAGCCTCCCAACAAAAGACAGAATGCCAAACTTCGTGTTGACCAGTTAAAGTATGATTCCAGCACCAGCAGACTGCTCTCAGAAACTTACAGCATCGACGATACGCAAGGGAGCAGCAGGAGAGACAGCGAGAGGAGCTTCTGTCTTGCACCTTCACCCCCAACTTGGGATGCGGCGCCCCCTGCGAGGCTGCGTGAGGCTGTGACGCCCCCTGCGAGGCTGCGTGAGGCTGCGACGGCCCCTGCGAGGCTGCGACAGCCCCTGTGAGGCTGCGTGAGGCTGCGACAGCCCCTGCGAGGCTGCGACGGCCCCTGGGAAGCCGGCGGAACCGTGCGAGCAGCCCAGAATGCTTCATCGACAGCCTGCGAACCAGCTCGCAGCCCCAGGCACAGCTATCACCTGAAGGGCGAGAGGGGCGAGAGCAGAAATCCTCATTTTAAACATAAGAGGACACATTATTTTAAAAAGCTGTTACATGGCTCCATACCCTTTCTGAGTAGAGCGTGAACAAGTCTTGAGAGACCTTTCCGAACACAGGGACACGTTATGGATGGAAATAGCTACATTTTCCATGTGTATGACTTTTGACCCGGCGACAAAAAGCGTACACCTATGGATGAGGACAGTGGGGAGGTAATGGGCAGAGGGTGGGGTGGGAACTGGGTGGAGGGGAGCTATGGGGGGGGAAAAAGGGTAACAACTGTAATAATCTGAACAATAAAGATTTATTTTAAAAAAAATAAATAAATAAATTCTTTATTAAACCAAGGAAAAAAAATAAATAAAATACCAAGGGCAAAAGACAAAGAGAGAATATTAAAAGCAGCAAGAGAAAAACAATTAGTTACCTACAAGGGAGTACCCATACGACTGTCAGCTGATTTCTCAACAGAAACTATGCAGGCCAGAAGGGAGTGGCAAGAAATATTCAAAGTGATGAATAGCAAGAACTTACAACCAAGATTACTCACCCAGCAAAGCTATCATTTAGAATTAAAGTTCAGAAAAAGAGCTTCACAGATAAGAACAAGCTAAAGGAGTTCATCACCACCAAATCAGTATTACATGAAATGCTGAAGGGTATTCTTTAAGAAGAGGAAGAAGAAGAAAAAGGTAAAAGATAAAAATTATGAATAACAGAGTGACAACAAATACATATCTATCAACAAGTGAATCTAAAAATCAAGTGAATAAAAATATGATGAACAGAATAAACTGGTGAATGTAATAGAATCAGGGGCATAGAAAGGGAGTGGACTGACAATTCTCAGGGGGAAAGGGGCGTGGGGGTGCGGGAAGAGACTGGACAAAAATTGAACACCTATTGACGAGGACAATGGGGGGGGTAAGGGCATGGGGTGGGGTGGGAACCGAGTGGAGGGGAGCTATGGGGAGAAAAAAGAGGAACAACTGTAATAATCTGAACAATAAAGACTTATTTTAAAAAAATACAAAAAGAAGAACCAAAAAACAACAACAAAATAATGGTGAAACAAAGACCTTTTCTGAAAAAGGAGTAATCACCAGAAGGTCCAACTAAAAGAAATACTTAAATGTGTTATTTAGTCAGAATGAAAAGATTCCTCAATGAAAATCTGCAGATGCAGAAAGAATAGAGAGTAACATGAGAAATATGTGGGCAATCATGTCTTATAGGGTAAAATATATATATTTACACATACACATATACATTTCAACAATGTAACTTGAGGAGGGATAACTGAAATATGAGCATTCTTAGCTCCTTGAATTGTTTGGAGGAAGTACCAATTAATAATACACATTGGTAAGTCAAGGATGTATGCTGTAGTCTCTAGGGTAGCCACTAACATAATCTTATCTAATAAAAGACAAACATGGTAATTAACCGTACCTCCGACATGCTTCCCATTGGCTAATCAGGGCGATATGCAAATTAACTGCCAACCAAGATGGCGGCCGTCAGCCAGGCAGCTGAAGCAAACATGAGGCTTGCTTGCTCCAGTGATGGAGGAAGCCAAAGTTCCCCGCCTACCGCTGCCGGCCTCTGAGCTGCACTCTAAGAAACAATGTTGCAATTATAGAAGCTAAACAAACCCCAGAAACCTGCTTTCAGCCAGCCGGGCCTCAGAGCTGGAGCTGCAACAGTGTTTCAATTATAGAAGCCAAACAAACCCAGATACCTGCTTTCAGCAGCCGAGGTCTCAGAGCTGGAGCTGAGCCTCAGAGCTAAAGCCGGCTCTCAGCTCCAGTGACAGCCATAGAAGGCAAATAAATCCCAGAATAAAAAAAAAAAAGAAAAAAAGGAGAGGTTGGGAGCTTCAGTCACCCGCCAGCCTGAAAACAGCCCTCAGCCCCTCACCCAGACTGGCCAGGCACTCCAGTGGGGACCCCCACCCTGAAGGGGGTGTGACCAGCTGCAAACAGCCATCATCCCCTCATCCAGGCTGGCCAGGCACCCAAGCGGGACCCCCACCCTGATCCGGGACACCCTTCAGGGCAAACCAGCCAGCCCCCACCCGTGCACCAGGCCTCTATCCTATATAGTAAAAGGGTAATATGCAAACTGACCCTAACAGCAGAAGGACTGGGAATGACTGGTCACTATGACACACACTGACCACCAGGGGGCAGATGCTCAATGCAGGAGTTGCCCTCTGGTGGTCAGGGCACTCTCACATGGGAAGAGCTCTGCTCAGCCACAAGCCAGGCTGATGGCTGCCAGTACAGCGGTGGTGGTGGGAGCCTCTCCTGCCTCCTCAGCAGCGCTAAAGATGTCCGACTGCAGTTTAGGCCTGCTCCCCGCTGGCAAGTGGATATCTCACGAGGGCTGCCGGGCTGCCAGAGGGATGTCTGATTGCCATCTTAGGCCCAATCCCCCGGGGAGCAGGCCTAAGCCAGCAGGTGGTCATCCCCTGAGGGGTCCCAGACTGCGAGAGGGCACAGGCCAGGCTGAGGGACCCCCCCTTCCCTCCGAGTGCACAAATTTTTGTGCACCGGGCCTCTAGTAGTATATAAGAATGTATAACTTCTAATAATGCGGCGGCTGTTGCCAACAAATACATAAAATCATAACTCACACAAAAAGAAGGTATAAGAAAGAAAAAAACAGAACAGATAGAACTAGAATGCAAATAGTACCGCTGTAATCATAAACACAAAATATATATCATTATTGAATGTCATCAGCCAGATGCTCGAATTAAAACACCAAGGTTTTCACACTGGTTTAAAAACATAAAACAAAAGCAACTACATCCTGCTTACCAGGGACACATCTATCCTAATAAAATGGTAATATGCTAATTAGACCGGACATCTTCCAGACAAAGCCACGGTGGTGGGGGCCGGGGCAGAGGCAGTTAGGGACGATCAGGCCAGCAGGGGAGGGCAGTTAGGGGCGATCAGGCTGGCAGGGGGAACCTGTTAGGGGGAGATAAGGCTGGCGGGGGGGGGGCAGTTAGGGGGCGATCAGGCTGGCAGGGGAGCAGTTAGGGGCATCAGGCCAGCAGGCAGAGGCGGTTAGGGGCGATCAGACCAGCAGGCAGGCGAGCGGTTAGGAGCCAGTGGTCCCGGATTGCGGATTGGACATCCCCTGAGGGGTCCCGGATTGGAGAGGGTGCAGGAGGGACCCCGCCTCCCCATGCACCAGGCCTCTAGTTAAATATAAGACCACAAAAAGATGGACAGCAAAGGGGAAGAAAAGTTATACAATGAAAAACTGATCAAAGCAAAGTTTCACTATTTTAAAAGTATAGAATAAAAGAATTCATAACAAACAGCTTCATTCACCAGAAGATTTAATAATTCTAAACTTTCATGTATCTATTAAAACAACCTCAAAATATGAAGAAAATAGATAAAGAATTATGAGAAACAATCGTAGTGGGAAATTTTATATACCACTTTCAAAAACTGATAGAACATGTAAATTAAATATTAAAATACAGAATATTTGAGTAACACGATAAACTTGACCAAACTGATATAGAATCCCATCTTTAACAACTGCAGAAAATACAAATTTCCCAGGCAAAGAATATTTACAAAAAGTAATCAAGCTAGACCAGTGGTTCTCAACCTTCTGGCTCTTTAAATACAGTCCTCATGTTGTGACCCAACCATAAAATTATTTTCGCTACTACTTCATAACTGTAATGTTGCTACTGTTATGAATCGTAATGTAAATATCTGATATGCAGGATGGTCTTAGGCGACCCCTGTGAAAGGGTCGTTCGACCGCCAAAGTGGTCGCGACCCACAAGTTGAGAACCGCTGAGCTAGACCATAAAGCAAATTTCATCCATTTCCACTGAATTAAAATCGTACAGAATGTTTTCAGACCACAGTGTAATTAAATGAGGAATAAATAACTGTAAAATCTCCCTGTCTGGAAAATAATAAATGCACTGCTAAATAACCTATGAGTCAGGGAAGATATCACAATGAACATATTTTGAAATAAATAATAAAAATGATGTATCATTTGTGGGATGCAGCTAAAGTCATTAGAAGATAATTTATCATCTTCAATAAATAGAAAAAGGTTGAAAATTTAAAAAATCTAAACATCCAACTCCTGGTTGTAAAAAAAGCCTATGTATCAAATAGTCTTCATAGCATCACTCATACTAGCAAAGAACTGAAGATAGTACTAGTAAACCAGCACAGCACACAGGGTACTCCCAAGGTGCCCTTGAAACTTATCCCAGGATACTACTGATTTTTGTCTGCCTTTCTCACTAAGCCACAAATCCTTAAGAGCAGCAGATAATGTCTTATTCATAAATCCTTAGGACTTGGTAGAGTGCATAAAACTCAGTAAGTACTCAGAATTTTTAAAAATGTCTTTATTGATTTTTAGAGAGGAAGGGAGAGAGAGAGACAGAAACATCAATGAGAGAGGATCATCATCTATCGGCTGTCTCCTGCATGCCCCTATTGGGGATCGAGCCCGCAACCTGGGCATGTGCCCAAACTGGGAATAGAACCCGTGACCTCTTGGTTCCTGGGTCAAAACTCAACTGCTGAGCCACACCAACTGGGCAGCACTCAGAATTTAATGGACAAAGTAAGCCAACACTTTTGCTTCTTGCAAAGAAGAAGGAATTATCTTTAAAATGTTTTTTTCTCTCCTGAAGAAGTGCTGGTGGTAATTTCTAATACACAGGAGAAATCTTACTTTATTGGTGCAGTAGCTCCTTCTGGTCCTTCGAGCTCAGAAAGGGGAACAAGATCCCATTTGAAGTGCAGTCCCCAGTTGAACCCTCCACGCACCACAGGGGACGAGCTGTAGGCCAGAGTGTCCGCACTGATGATGTCAATCACTGGGCACACGACTGTCCGCCGGTCCTCCCGGATGGCAGCCAGCAAGGGCTGCAGCCACATCACGTTCACTTCACAGTGGCTGTCCAGGAACACCAGGACTTCTCCTGAGGAGGCAAATGACAGGCTTTACAAACTCATCTGGGGCTGAAGGGGCCGGCATCACTCGCTGCCACCACTCCTCCTGTATACCCACTGTCCCTTTGCTGGGTTTAGTTGGGACTTCATTTTTAGACTCTTCTTCCCTCCTTTTTTTGTTTAAACCTACATGAACTGAAGCAAATCATTAAAAAATGAGAACTCCTCTCCATGTAGCCTGCAGTCATATGCAGACTGAATTCAAGGCTTATGACTTTTCTCCTATTTAATTCTACTCAAAGACTTACTGAAAGCAATGAGATAAAGAGAAAATTGTGGAGTATTTGTGGGGAACGGCAAAATTATGCCATTCGAAACACTGTATTGTTACAACATACTACGGAGAGCTTTATTTCTCAGAGACCAATGATCATTTAGTTTTTTTCATTATGATCTGTTAGATATAAGCTAGTTTTGGGGCAGTCTCAGGTTCAGTGTGACTATGTGTAATCTTACTTCATTTAGTTAAGTTGAAAAAAGTAACATTTATAGAATTAAGAAAAATATTAATACATTTCTTAAAGGAACATTGATTTAATTGACTTCACCTCGCACTGACTGATGATGGACAAGGGGAAAATTCTGCCTTTCTGTATTCAATGACACCTAGCCTGCTGTATTTATGCTCTCTGTGTCCTCACCTGTTTGTTCACAGACACAGAATTATATGACTAACTCACTGTCATCATAGAGAATGTTCTTGCCTGTGGTATTTCTGCTATCACTAACTGAAATGGGATGATATTGGTGCTTTAAAAGTCAGCGGTTGCCAACCGATGGTCGGTGAGGTCTGAAAGGTTGGCGACCGCTGCTTTAAGTGATTTGTGTGAAATCTATAGCAATACATTTTATAGGTAAATCTTTAGAATAAAAATTATATCTGATGATCAAATTACCACTTAACTGCGAGTAATAACCATGAAGTTATCAAAGATATTATCAAAGAAACCCTCATTTCCACTCACATTTATCAAGAGGAGTTAAAAATGTCTAAATTTTTTAAAGAGTTATGAATATGATTTCTGTGTGTCCCTCAATCATAACAGTACAGTCCAGGCAAAATTCCTAGCTGAAAGACTTCCCTGTTTCTGACTTGGAGTAAACTAATGGTTTGTTTGGGCTGGGAGGATAGCAGTTATATTTTATGCCACGTAAATACATTATCCGACTGAACTGGCAGCAGTACCTAAATAAATTACCTTCATGATTTTTTGGGGGCCATACCCATGCATACATGCAGTATTATGTACCTAATATATTTAAGTAAATTCATTTAACTTGAATTTATTTTAAAAGGACATTTTTTTACCAAGACCATAAATGACAATCAGGATCACCGACCTTACACAGAGGTAACCTTAAGAAGAAATACAATGGTATCAATATAATATAACTGAAGACTAACCAGATATATGTTCAGCAGAAGATTCTGAATTTGATACCTGTTATTTCTTTTTATAAGGGTCAAGATAGGTGTAAGCTGTGAAGTTTTTAAAAATATAGTGGTACCAATGGAGACTTTCTCCTTGATGGACTTAGGAAAATTACTAGTAAGAGGAAATTTTTAAAGGAAATGTCTTTATAATTATGTAAGTCAATTTTTAAAATGTTTTTTTATTGATTTTAGAGAGAGAGAGAGGAATGGAGAGGGATAAATAGAAACACTGATGACATAAATCGGCCATCTCCTGCACTCCCCACACTGGGGATCGAGCCCACAACATGGGCATGTGCCCTGACTGGGAATTGAACTGGGGACCTCTTGGTTCATGGGTCAATGCTCAACCATTGAGCAACACTGGCCAAGATGTAAGTCAATTTCTTATCAAACGGTTTGGGCACATATATTTTATATTTTGTTTTTTAAAAATTACAGAACTTCCGCTTATATACTAGTAAGTGAAGAAGATGCAAATATATTTGAAGGGCAGTAATTAACAATAGGGGCCTTTAAGAAAATAGGCCTGAGGATTCTGGAGTTCGCTTCTTTGGAGTTTGTGCTTTGGGACACCACAGCCGGAGTTCCGAAAAGGCCTTTCCCAAACTGAACAACCTCATCTCTCCCGCTGGCAATGCCCACGTAAAAACCACTTTCAGACCTCTACAGAATCAGCAAAGGCACCAAGGACAGCCCTCACCGCTCAGCACCCACCGACAACACCCAATGGGAAGTTATACCTGTTGCATGAGCTGCTCCTATCATTCTTCCTCGAATTAATCCCTCACGTTTTGTATTTCTTATTAATTTAATTTTTCCAGGGAGATGTTTTTGGACAAATTCATCTAATTCTCCTTTCAAATCATCTGAAAATAAAGAGTCCCATAATTATTCAAATCACATGAGACACATACAAAGACATTTTATAGCTACTCTAAGGTTGTATCTGGTACTTCCAACAACATATTGTCAAGTAAATATTATAGGGTCTTCTGTTTTATTTTAAAAGAAGATTGTAACTTATCTGATAAGGTGAAAAAAAGGGAAAGAAATGAAGGGTAGGAGTTGGAATACCAGCCAAGAGAAATACTTACCTTATACACTTATTTGTATTTTGACAGCAAGCTAGTACAATGCTTTGCATAAAAAATGTTTGAAAATATCGAGTCAAAGTTCCACTGACTGCATATAAATCAGATTTAAAACAAAGAAAATGGAATGTAAATGTCTTTTGTTTCAAAGTAATTTATCGTATCTTATTCCATTTCAGAATAATTGAGAAATAACTTCTATGGTTCCTACCAAAAATTACATAATAGCAGCAGTAAATATGCCTTTTATTAGTTTAGGACCTTCCAAGGGTGAGTAACTTCTCCCACTTAGTAGGTTGTTTTGTTTTGTTGATGGTTTCCTTGGCTGTGCCAAAAACTTCTTAGTTTGATGTAGTCCCGTTTATTTATTTTTTCTTCTTTCCCTTGCCCGAGGAGACTCGCCCTAGGAGATATATTACTGAAAGCAACGTCAGAATTTACTGCCAATGTTTTCTTCTAGAAGTTTTATGGTTTCAGGTCTTACATTTATGTCTTTAATTCGAGTTTTATTCTTATAAGGTGATCTAGTTCCCCCTTTTTTTTGCATGTATCTGTCCAATTTTCCCAACACCATTTATTGACTAAACTGTGTTTACCCCATTGTATATTCACATATCCTTTGCCATAAATTGACAATATAAATGTGAGTTTATTTCTGGGCTCTCCATTCTGTTCCATTGATCTATGTGTCTGTTTTTATGCCAGTACCATACTGTTTTGATTATTATAGCCTTGTAGTATAGTTTGATATCCAGTAGCATGATTCCTCCATTGCTGTGGCTATTCAGGGTCTTTAGTGGTTCCATATAAATTTTAGATTTAGTTGTTCTAGTTCTGTAAAGAATGCCTTTTGTATTTTGATGGGGATTGCATTGAATCCATAGATTGCTCTGGTTAGTATGGACATTTTAATGATGTTAATTCTTCCCATCCATGAACATAATATATGCTTCCATGTATTTGTATCTTCTTCAATGTCTTATAATTTTCCAAGTGCAGGTCTTTTACTTCCTTAAAATTTTTATTGATTTTTATTGAGGAAAGGAGAGGGAGAAAAAGATAGAAACACCAATGATGAGAGAGAATCATTGATTGGCTGCCTCCTGCACAACCCCTACTGGGGAATTGAGCCCCCAACCCTGTCAGGGACTTGAACCATAACCTCCTGGTTCATAGGTCAATGCTCAACCATTGAGCTACCGCGGCCAGGCCTCCTTTGTTAAATTTATTCCTAGGTATGGGGAATAAATTTAATGCAATTGTAAATGGAATTTTTTAAAAAACCAGCACATAAATTTAATAAAATTTAGGTAAAAGACAAATGGGAAAATTTATAGTGTGGGTGAATCCAGGTAAGAATAATGAAACCAACTGATCAATCTTTACATCACCAAAAATGCAACAGATACCATGTGCTTTTTTCAGTTTACATTCAGTATTATTATGTATTGGTTTAAGGCAGCGGTTCTCAACCTGTGGGTCGCGACCCCTTTGGCGGTCAAACGACCCTTACACAGGGGTCACCTAAGACCATCCTGCATATCAGATATTTACATTACAATTCATAACAGTAGCAACATTACAATTATGAAGTAGCAACGGAAATAATTTTATGGTTGGGTCACAACATGAGGAACTGTATTTAAACGGCCAGAAGGTTGAGAACCACCGGTTTAAGGTATACAGCATAGTGGTTAGATAACCATATACTTTACAAAGTAGCCCCTAAATATTTGAAGTATCCACCCAGCACCATACATTGTTATTACAATATTATTGACTATATTCCCTATGCTGAACTTTAAATTCCCATGACTCTTTTGTTACTACCAATCTGTACTCAATCTCTTCCCTTTTCACATCTCTGCCATTTCCACCAGTCTCGACATGGCTTCCTCTATATATCCTTAGTTATAAGACTTCTGTTCAGCTAGTCTTCCTTTAGTTATTCAGGTTGATTGTTCTATAATTTACTTGTAATTCCAATTTGGTCCTGGGAGGAGGCAAGTGTAACTTTCACCTACTCTGCAGCCATCTTGGAACAAATCCCAATGAAATTGTTTTCTTTTTGTTGGCTTTTTTGTTAAATCTCACCTGAGAATATTTTCCCATTGATATTTAGAGAGAAACATCTATTGGTTGTCTCTCACACACACCCCGACTGGGGCCAGGGATCAAGCCTGCAACTGAGGTACGTGCTGACGCTTTAGCCACTGAGACAAATGAGCTAAGGCAGGATTGTTTTCTTAATTTCTCTTTCTGATAGTTCATTATCCTATACTAGAGGCCCAGTGCACAATATTCGTGCACAGGGGGGGACAGGGGTTCCTCAGCCCGTCCTGCGCCCTCTCGCAATCCAAGACCCCTCGGGGGATGTCTGATTGCTGGTTTAGGCCTGCTCCCCCCAGAGGGGTCCTTAACACTGCCACAGAGGTGGGAGAGGCTCCCCCCCCCCCCCATCACCGCTGCGCTTGCCAGCCGTGAGCCGGCTTCCGGCTAAGCGGCACTCCCCCTGTGGGAATGCACTGACCACCAGGGGGCAGCTCCTACATTGAGCGTCTGTCCCCTGGTGGTCAGTGTGTGTCATAGCAACTGGTCGTTCTACTGTTCGGTCAAAATAATGCGCTTACAGTTGGTGAGTGCAGCAGGTGGCGGGAGCCTCTCCCGCCTCCATGACAGTGCTAAGGATATCTGACTGCTGATCTAAGCTGTCTGTTGGACATCCCCCAAGGGCTCCTGGACTGCAAGAGGGTGCAGGCTGGGCTGAAGGACCCCCCACCCCAAGTGCACGAATTTCATGCACTGGGCCTTTAGTAGGATAAAAGCCTAATATGCTAAGTGTCCGACAGTTTGTTCAACCATTTGACCAGTGTTATGACGCGCACTGACCACCAGGGGGCAGATGTTTCGACCGGTAGGTTAGCTTGCTGCTGGGGGTTTGGCTGATCAGGACTGGCCGAGATGGGCTGGACATGCCCTGGAGCCCTCCCGCGGTCCTTTCACAGTCCCAATTGTGCACTGGTGGGGTCCCTCAGCCTGGTCTGCAACCTCTCGCAATCTGGGACCCCCTCAGGGGATGTCGGAAAGCCAGTTTCGGCCCGATCCCTGCAGGCCAGGCCAAGGGACACCACTGCACAAATCCGTGCACCAGGCCTCTAGTTGGTGTATAAAAAATGAAACCAATTTCTGAATAGTGATTTTATATCCTGTTACTTTACCGAAGTCATTTATCAGTGCTAGTAATTTTTAGGGGAAATCTTTAGGATTTTGCAAATGACAGTTTTACTCTTCTTTTCCAATTTGGATGCCTTTTATCTCTCTCTTGTCTAGTTGCTATGGCTAGGATTTCTAATACTAAGCTGAAGAAAAGTGGTGAAAGTGGACAGCCTTGACTTGTTCCCAATCTTAAGGAAAATGCTTTTAGCCTTTTCCCATTGAGTATTATGTTCGCTCTTTTTAAAAGGTAAGCCAAGGGAAAAATTTCAAGGGCCAAGTTTAGGTAGCACAGTTGGTGAACAGATTACAAAGGTAATGCAGTTGCTTCAAAATTTTCCCATAATCTTTGGGCAGGCATTTATTTGTGGTTGACTCCATTGCGATTACATGCATAGGGTTCTCCCATCCACTACGTATTGAAGGGTCAGCCTTACTGATGTTATCAATACCACAGGGAACAACAGCCTAGATCCTACATTACCAGTGACAACATTCCTTACCAAAGTCACTGCTGTCATCCACAAGGATGATTTCATGGAGAAGCCGGGCTGGTGTGCGGTCCAGGACGCTGTGCACAGTCCGCAGCAAAGCAGACAAGGCTTCGTTGTAGAAACAAATAACAACACTAGCGACTGGCAGATCTGTAGGGTATATCTTATCTTTACATCTGCAAAGGTGAATGAGAAAAATTCCAACAATTTAAAAGGCTCAAATGTTTTAAGTTATTATTCACTACACCTTAACTACGATCTTATTCTGCTTCTTCCTTGCACTATAACCATTTTTTAAAAAGCATTTAAGGAACAATGTGGTTTCTTACTCAAGAGTTTTACATGTTAATAACTTCTCCCTCTGATAAGTGCTACTCTGCTTATTTTAAACATTTTAAAAACTTGGGGTTTTTTTCATTTTTGGTACATAGGTTACATAAAATCATTGCAAGTATTTTTAAAATATATTTTTATTGATTTCAGAGAGGAAGGGAGAGGGAGAGAAAGATAAACGACAATGATGAGAGAGAATCATTGACCTGCCTCCTGCAAGCTCCACATTGGGGACTAAGCCCACAACCTGGGCATGAGCCCTGACCAAGAATCGAACCGTGACCTCCTGGTTCATAGGTTGACGCTCAAACACTGAGACACAATGGCCGGGCTCATTGCAAGTTTTTAATGCAGCACTTGTACGTTGATGTTCAGCTTCTCCTCAGTGAGGTCTCAAAAAGGAAATAGAGCCGAAACCGGTTTGGCTCAGTGGATAGAGCGTCGGCCTGCGGACTGAAGGGTCCCAGGTTCGATTCCGGTTAAGGGCACGTACCTGGGTTGCGGGCACATCCCCAGTGGGAGATGTGCAGGAGGCAGCTGATCGATGTTTCTCTCTCATCGATGTTTCTAACTTTCTATCTCTCTCCCTTCTTCTCTGTAAAAAATCAATAAAATATATTTAAAAAAATAAAAAAGGAAATAGAAATATAAAACTTGTATCTGAAAATTTCATTTTTTACTCAGTAATAGAAAAACATTTGAGTAAACTATATGCATCAAGATAATGGAAGAGCTTCCATGCAAGTACCTAATAGTTAGGTGGCTTTATACGACAATAAAAAAAACCCACCAACTTATAGAATCAAATCCAGAATTCCATGCTCTTTTGCCCTTCCATTGGCTAGGCCCAGCCTACCCCAGCCTCTTGCCACTCTTCCATTATAGCTAAACTGAACCATTTGGGTCCCCTTTGACAAACTATATAGCTTTATGCCTTGGTCTGTCCCCCTACTCTCTTGCTTCACTGCTCAGTCATCATTGAGAAATTTTCCCTGACCATTCCAGTTTGGGGGCCCCATTTCACTAGTTTCCGTCACAGCCATCATTCTTATGCTACTACAATTACTTGTTTCCTTATTTATCTCCCCTGCTAGACTTGAAGGCCTGTGAACCCAAAAATGTCTTATTCTGTTTATTTTTGAGGCCTAATACAATGTCTAGCAAACAGTAGGTGTTCAAATAATCTGTATGTGGAATGACAGACCAACTATCTACACTAATAAAAGAGAAACATGCAAATTGGTGTCACTCCGCTACCCTTCCCATTGGCTAATCAGGGCGATATGCAAATTAACTGCCTGCCAAGATGGCGGCTGGCAGCCAGGCAGTTTGAAGTGAACAGGAGGCTTGCTTGCTTCAGTGACGGAGGAAGCCAACGTTCCCCGCATGCCTTGCCGGCCTCTGAGCTGGCAGTTTGAAACATTGTTACAAATATAGAAGCTAAACAAAACCCCAGAAACCTGCTTTCAGCCAGCCGGGATCTCAGAGCTGGAGTTGAAACAGTGTTTCGATTATAGAACCCAAACAAACCAGATACCTGCTTTCAGCAGCCGAGGCCTAAGAGCTGGAGCCAAGCCTCAGAGCTAAAGCTGGCCCAGAATAAAAAAAAAAAAAAAGGAGCGGTTGGGAGCTTCAGTCACTTGCCAGCCTGAAACCAGCCCTCAGCCCCTC